GTCATCTTTGTCATCACTTTTTAAACTTCAATTCCCAAGAATATCATGTATTGACACAATCCTACCACATCACCTTTAAGGACAGGAAGTAGCTCAGACAGGAGTGCAGGTGAAAGAAAGGTTGAGAAGGACAGGCTGGTGGTCCCAAGCTCAACTTAGTTTGTGTTTTAATTTAAATTTAGATTATTTTTGGGCACCAAGATGACTTGGATAGGCTTCGAGCTGCAAATACCTGAAGGTACGTTCAGAGCAATGAGCCCATGCTGCGGTGTTTTACACACGAAGGACAAACAATATGTTAAACAAGGATTTTACTACGATATTAAACTGCATCAAAATCCAGCCACATGTCAGACTTACAGATGTGTTTCACTAAATCACATGAGGACATTTAACAGTTTATAAAGAACACATTGTTAATGATACATCCTTCAAGCCTCCCTTTGACTGTTTAAACCAGCAAGTAAACATCAAAGTGATGACAAAAGGAAAACATGAGAGCAGAAGAGTGAAGCGACTTTCTGTGAATGCGTCAGAGCTGCATTGGTCCTGATGGAGACCCCCAAACCTCTGCGCTGTTTTCTTTTCAGCAGAGACGACCAGCTGATTCTGTGGTTTAAATCACAAATTTAAATAGATGTAAACCCCAGATACCTGTGACATCAATTCATAATTAACCGTGGAGGTTTTTAAGACTCAGAAGAGCCAAAAACCTGCTGCTGTCGAGCTGAACAGCAGACGGGAGTGAAACAGAGAAAGCATCATCACGGAGGACTCATGTGGATTAGCATACTTGAGCTCGTAATTATCTTTGCTTGTTCGATTTTGTTAAGCGTCGTGCGGTTCTGGAAACTTCCATGCAGCATGAAAACAAGTTCACAAACAATCAAACCTAAAATTTGCTTCACCTGCATCATTTTATGTAGCTGCAAACTGCAGCAGCAGGAGACGGGACCCAATGACATATTCTTATTTTTGACGTCTTATTTCCAGCTCACAGTGAGAAATAAATCCAGTTTTGCAGTTTATGTTCCTAAACATAATGGTAGACAGGATTTTTCCATTAGAGACAGAGTTGCTCACAGCATTTTTCTCAGCTGACGAGAGATGACATGTGTCAGCTGTCTGATCTGCAAACTGTTGTTCAAAAGATGCCATGTGGAAATCAAGATGGTGTTCAGCTTCTGTTAATGTCAGATGGTTGAGTTTCTCAACACTGTCTGATCCAGATCATTTAAAGCACTAATTATAATACATTTGTATTATAATTCTTTAAATATAGTCAGTTTGAATGTTTGAAGTAGAAAATAAATCAGTCCACTATAATGTGTGGGAATCACAGGAAACATTATTGTGAATAAAACTGATTACTGGGGGATTTAGTAGGGATAGAGTTAAAACTGTAAGTATATTAGACATAGAGCTGAAAAGGAAATGTTAGAATGAACCTTTGTTAGATGTTAAAACCTTTTTTAATATATAGACAGTACATCCTTCAACAGCTAATGTTTGTGCGAGCACTGGGCATGAATGCAACCTGTGGACAGTGAAGAATCAAAATATCATATATGAAGGTCTATTGATCTGACTTGAGGCACAAGCAAATTATATAAAAGGAAGAAACTCTCCAGGATTTTGGCCGTGTTGGATAAAAAGAGGAAGTGACATCATTTGTTCTAGTCCCAACATGGCTCAGAAAGGTTTTCCTGGGTATTAAATATAGATTTAAATATAATTCTTGTACAAATGAAAGAAAAATACCTGATGTAAGTACATTACCATCAGCTTAAATGGGGAAATAAAAGTGCTGTACCGGCTGTGTTGGAAGTAACTGGGCGGGAAACCCCATCGCACTTGGTCTCGCAGAGGAAATCGTCGATAGACGGGCTTAGAAGCGGGCGGCTCTCTTGTTGCTCACTCACCAGCTGCAGGGACAAACACATGAGACAGTTCAGGCTCTCTTCGCATGTCTCTCATGCTCAACTCCCTTCAAATCCTCTGTGAAAGCCCCCCAAAGCCTTATTATTATGAGGGGAAATTCAGGCCACTGGTTCACATGACAGCAGAGCTATACTGTCAAATCCCTGAGTGTGTGAACTTCTGCAGCTTTTAGGGGAGACGTGCTCGTGGGCACATTATCTAACGACAGCATGTGACGGCACATACTGCGGCCTCTCGGCTGAGCCCACTGTGACTTCTCTTTGCAAACTGATATGTGGCATATGGTTGAACACAGCTGGTATTTCATGATTGTTATCACACAATCACATCTCTATGGTGCCGACAAACCCTCAGATTACTACAGAAAGAAGAGAGTGTGTCACTGCGCTGAGATCCAGATGAGCTGGACTCGGAGCTGCTTGGTGTCCAGAACAATAATTACACAACCATTCCTGCTTATCTCACCTCCAAACCATGAAATGCAAATCACTTTGCCTTTGATGCACCAATTTGTAGGGTTGCCAGAGCAGCTGCTGAATAGGTCACATCCAGTTCATTATTGGTACTCCTCACTTCAGGTGCAGCTGGTCTCAATTTGCCAGCCATTTCTTCATCATTTGCAGAGGAAAGCAGCCGCCACCGGTGATGTCATTGTGTAGCGTGTCCATAATGCTGGCAGCGAGGAAATGTGACATTTCCTGTTGTTGCTCTGCAGGCCATGGCCACAAGCAGAATTTTAATGAAGGTCCTGTTAGTTAGCAAGCATGAAGCTGAGCACAGCCTGCCATATGTTCGATGAAGTGTTGGATGGGCTTTTGATAGCGTTATATTACTTTACAATTATGCTTCCTGAATAAATCTGGAGCGCACGCTGGGCCCTGCTCGACCTCTGTTGGAGAAATGATGAAAAACAAATATCTGACTGCTCAGAGACATGAATATTGGGCTAAATGGTCATTGCAACGTGGCAGGTAATCATCAATGCGCGTATTAGAAAGATCTGTGTAAATGTGTGTCGACAGGAAAGAGCAGCTTTCAGCAGTCAGACGAGAAAAGTCCAGTGTGCCTGAAAGCCGTTTGTCTCTTTGATTGAGTCATTCACCGTCTTTAGGATCGGCTCCACCAGCTGTCAAAACGTGTGAAAAAATATTTCAGGTAACAAAGATAAAAATGAAACCACTGAAAAATATTCAAACTGCGATTTTGTGAACTTGGAAAACCAACTGAAATAAAATTAGAAGATATATACAGGAAATGTTCTTAGTTTCAGTGTTTGTTTCCTGGTGTGTACAAGACTGTGAAGTGCTTTTCTCACATATGTCCTCTGTGCAACAATAATTAATGGGGACTAGAAATAGCACTGAAACTAATAGAAACTAAAGTAAAACTAAACATTTTTAAAAACGAATAAACAAACGCACTCTGGAAACAAACGGAAACTGAACTGAATTAAAAGCCAAAAGTGAAAATTAAATTAAAATGAGGCTCCATAAAGGTTAAAGAGGTGAGTATTTCTCAGTTGCATTGAACGGAGAATAAATTGTAGAAACCTAAACAGGAGAAAGAAGAAGAGAAATAACAAGTTAACATAAACCAGTGACACTCCGGGGCCTGATCAGGCAGGGCCTCCCTGGATCAGGGTGTCCAGTGATAATGGCCGAAACACCCGATGAATCCAAGGTCCACTGCTGACGATGTGTCCCACATTTTAATAATTTAGATCAGATCTAATCCCTAAACCCAACCAAGGAAAAATGGCAGATTAGCCTGGGTGAAAGACCGAAGGTTGAGGCACACAACAATGTGTGCCGCTGGTAAAGTTTCTGGGCTTTTTTTCTTTCAGCCGTCCCCCAAGATTGTCTCTATTTAAAGCAATGCATCACCAGGGACTGTAACATCTAGTCCTTTTACTGAATGAATAAAAATAAAAACCAATAGAAAACTGGAAAAAGAGAAGCAGGGCAGCATATTATATGCTGTGCCTCTATTACATTAAACTGACATTATATGAATTCTTACTCTTATTTATCAGCGGTGGGTTAGGGGAGAAGTGAAATGACAGCTTTGGTTTTGTCCTTGCTCTGCAGCAGAGATGCTTTAAAGAGGACATGAATAATACCCGGAGACGGGCCGTTAGTTTGTGAGAGATTGTGCTGAGTAGCAGGAACGGTGACCCAGCACAGATAATTAGGCTGTGTTGGTGCTGCTCTGCTGTCTGAGCAGAGATTTTGTCCATGGGAAGTCTCACAATGCCGAGCAGCCTGAGTTCACCTTTTGTTGAAGCCAGTGTGTTATTGTCCAATTTGGTCTGAAGCAACCAATCTTAAAATGAAATGAGGGTGGACTTGTTTCTAAAGGTCATGTTAAGTGATTTACAGACTGCTTGCTCTGCAGAGGTGCAGCTGAGTGTGAGTGAAGGCTGAGCCGCTGCTGAATCAGTTACAGCTGTTAGCGGTGTGAAAGGAGTGCATGCTAACCCGGATAACCGCTGCTGGCCTTTAATGCAGGAAGTGACTCATCTTAAGTGACTTTTTGTTGCTTTTAATTAAATCACTTGTTCTCAGTCAACTACATATCACCTGAGTTAAAAAAAAAACCCATAGGTGTCAGTGTTTCTGTGAGAGGAAGATTTCTTCCATTGCTCCTCTGTTTTTCTGTTTCCTGTTCATGTTTTTGCCATCTCACTACAGAGAGTGACATATATATGTGTACAAACGATAGGCAATGCAGGCAAGGCTAAAAATATAAGAAAATACTATAAAACATTATACAAAAGCCCATTTATAGAGGCGGGATTTTCAATAGCACCTGATTGTGTTGAGCCTGATGGTCAAAGAAAAATTGCCCAACAGTTTTGGGCTAAAACGGTGAAAGCACAGTGTCCCTTTGTTTTCAATTCAATTCAGTTTTATTTATATAGCGCCAAATCACAACAAAAGTCGCCTCAAGGCGCTTCATAGATACAGAGAAAAACCCAACAATCACATGACCCCCTATGAGCAGCACTTTGGCGACAGTGGGAAGGAAAAACTCCCTTTTAACAGGAAGAAACCTCCAGCAGAACCAGGCTCAGGGAGGGGCGGCCATCTGCTGTGATTGGTTGGGGTGAGAGAAGCCTGGAAGACTGGACTGTGCAACCTTTAATTGAGTGTCTGCTCTGAAGAGTCTGAGATATTCTGAGATCTAAAGTGGAGCCATGGAGTGATCTGCAGTCTGTAGTCATTCTGTATGAAGCAAACATGGATCAGACTTTGACATGTGGCTAAAACTGAGTCGCTGATTGAAAATAATGTCACATTTTTAGCAGATTGCTTTTGCTGAGATATTACTTGTCCAACAAAGGGGACCAACATTATTATTAATATGATCAGGACCAATAATGAGGACTTTTATCAGAGTTCAGCAGTAAGAATTAAAGGTGCACAGTTTGTAATGGCAGTGTGGCCGGAGACTAAATGAGACCTGAACATGGCATCATTGGCACATACGATGGTGAGACACTCGTGTATAATTATGGATTACATGGCTGAATAGATGCAGATATAAAGGAAACTAAACAGGTCCAAGGACCGAGCCCTGTGGGATCCCACGTGTTGTGCTCTGTTTGATAAACTGCATAAGAGCCACTCGAGTGCCTCTCCATCTACACCATCTCACATCAGCAGCGATTAGCTTGTCACACATCACGTTGAAGCTGATGGCTCTAACATTCATGGCCCCAGTTGCCTAGGCGATGCTTTAATATATTTACTACCAGTCAGTCAAAGGGAATCTTCACTCTCATTGGTAGTCACTTCGGTTGCTTCCTTGAGGATTGAGTTTATTTCCTGCCCATTTCAGTGGATATGTCGTTTGTACTCGCCTGAAGTTGCCCAGTAAGGCCTCCAGTGTGGAGCCAGCTTCACTCTATTGAAGCGAGTTGGCAAAATCAGACGCTACAGTTTAAAGTGCTGTTCATAAGCCAACTGCAATGAAGCAGCTCCTGTACTGATTTTTCCCTAAAGTCAGACTGAAATGGATCAAATCAGTTGTTGTTATGTTTATTTTTTTTACATAATGAGCTTTCCAACATATTTTACAGGTTTCACCATCATGTCTCCTCATATCCATCTGAACCTTTTTGTATGTAAAGTATTTTAGCAACTTTAATTACAGTTACACAAGTTTTTCTACGTTACAAGACTTTGGATTTTTCCACTTTATTTATTTATTTATTTATTTATTTTGACTGAAGGTCAGTTCTGTCAAATGAGCAGCATGTGGATCATTTAGAAAACATCATTTAGTCCTCCAGTAATGCTCTGATTTAATTGAACAGTGTTGAGATTTAAAGTTTTGACAGACATGATTGGGATCCCTGCTGAGCCAGGTTCTGCTGACAGCTGACTTTAGCATATCCCCAGAAAATGTGACATTTGAAACAATATGGTGACAAACTTCACACAAAACATCTTTGGTACAGTTGGCCTTTTCTTTAAATCAAGGATGCAAATTTCAGTTTTAAGTCAAGGTGATAAATCTTTGTGATTATGCACTGATAGCGCTTAGTGACGGGTTTTTTAATAGATGTCACCCAGTAGTTTGTGGATGTTGTTTTCAGGCTTCAGTTCTGGCATTATGGTTGTTGCCAGAATAAGATCAGAGGCTGGAGTGCTAAGCTAACAGTTAGCTACATTAGCATGCTTGAACAAGTTGCAAACATTGGCTGTATGGGGCACAGGAACAAGTAGCTGCTAATTAGTGTTAAATGCATGCAAATATACAACATCATCAGAACTGGAGGATAGACTGACATCATAATTAACCAGACAGAAAAACGTGTTATTTAATAGATATTAGCTGGCACCCACAGACTATAGATGGCTGTAGCTTCTGGCCCTGGAAAATGAAGCCAAAGCCAAAATGCCTCCACCCTACATTTTTTAAACTCCCCTGATGGGAGTTAAGTTCTTAAGTTGGACACAAGCCTGCAGTGTTTATGATC